TGGGACGTATATTTGGACTTAATGTCAGCTACAGATACAGCTACAGTTTTGATTTTGGTTTTCGAAAAAGGGAATGCATTAGCACTTAAGAAAGAGTGTTGCGGCTGCTAGGCAAGGCTGTCGCATCAGCCTTCCCAAAATAAAGATGATTGTGAGCAGAAGTATTAAGTTGTGTGGGGATGAAGCTGAGCTCCACAACCTTTCAGCCTCATACAAAGAGTAGCATTATTAAAGACAGCAGAATCCATATCTTGCTTAAATCCTCCTGCGCTGTAAAAAATCTAGTTGCCATTCCTTCCGTTGTTACAGTATTGTGTGCTTTAATTGCAGCACAATCAACAGCTCTGACCGATCTGTTGGTTGGTGACTATCAACTTAAGAGTATTCCAGATATTAAACATATATATATTATTAAAAAATTCTAGAATAAAAGATTCTTTTTGACAAAAGTTAAAAAAGAAAAACTTCTTTCCAAAATCTATCCAATTATGCTTAAATGAATAGGCAAAAACAACATGTTGGAGGATTTTCTTAATATATATTAGAAGAAAATTATTGGAATTCATATCTATGATGGGATCTCCAAATATTAAAGACTGCTTATGGAATGTTCCGTACCCCACGGACATGATGGGACGTCTTGTGCCACAATCTATTTCATGGAGAGCTTTTCCATCAGTCGGGCGATGAGTCTGTCCTCGTGTTTCAAGCCTTCCGGCGAACATGTGGCTGTGCTTATTCCCTTCTTTGTGGTGGATGATCAGCTCCACGACTTGGAAGTTATCTGGAACTGCAGCCTGACATGAGACGCATGTTATGTTTGGACTAGAAAAAGGAAACGCATTAGCCCCTAAGAGAAAAGATATTACAGTTGTTAGAATTAAACTTGTTCAAGTATTTATTTCATCAAAATTAAGATTCATTGTATTCATTACAGAAGAAAAATAGATTAAATGTCTATAAAAAAATAAGTCAAATTGGTTATTAGTTTTTGAAAGGATTTCTTGAAAGAGAATGATTCATCTTGAATATAATTAATGTAATGTATCTTTGAGGACTATATAAACTCCATATATTGGGTCATGAAAAATATATATAGTTTCTGAAATCATAAAGAGTTTTCTTGAGAGAAATATAGAAGATTGAAGCTTGTCCTACTCTTCCTCGGTTTGATAACTCTATCCCTTCTTTCTATCAAGATCAACATTTGGTATTAGAGTATAGGTTAAGCTATTACCTCTTCCTCAAGTATCATCTAACTCCAGATCTCCAGATTGACAAAAGAAAATTATGACATATAGTGCATCCAAATGAAGGTTCTTCTAGGCTCCCAAGATGTATGAGAGTTTATAGGAGATGGATTTGCTAAACCAAATCCAACAAAAGAAGGAGCAATTAATGCAGAAGAAAGACAACAACTCAAAGAAAGAAGGAAGAAGGAGAAAAAAACTTTGCTCACGATTTACCAAGGGCTTGATGATACAATGTTCGAGATCATCGCTCCAACAAATACTTCAAAGAAGGCTTGGGAAATGTTTCAAAAAGCATTCGGTGGTGTTGATAAGATAAAGAAACTTCGTTTACAAGTTTTACGTGCCGAGTTTAAAAAATTACAACAAGGTACTTCTAAAACTATTTCTGATTACTTCTCAAAAATCATTTCCATTGTTCATCAAATGAGATGAAATGGTAAACACATAAATAATCAGAGAGTAATAGAAATAATACTGAGATCTCTAGATCCAAAATTTGATTTTATTGTTGTTGCGATTGAAGAATCTAAAGATTTGGAAAAAATATCTTTAGAAGAACTTATGGGTTCCCTTCAAGTTCATGAATCAAATTCTCAAAGAGGAAGAGGACGAGGACAAAGAGGAAGAGGAGGCAGAAATCACACCAATCAAGAATCTCCAAACAATGAAAATGCTGGAGAAAATTCTAGCTAAAGAGGCCGAGGTTATGGTTGAGGATGTGGTCAACGCCATGGACGTGATAGAAACTCTAAAATGTCTGAAATACAATGCTATATTTACAAAAGGTATGAACATTACTCTTATAAATGTTATTATAATCTTAACAATCAAGGTGATAAGGCAAATTTTGTTGAAAAATAAAAAAAAGAATGAAAATCAAGTTTTGCTAATGAATTATGATAATTTGAAAGATGATCAGTCTTTGACATGGTATCTAGATACAAGAGCCTTAAATCATATGTGTGGCATCAAAGAGCTATTTTAGAAAATGAATACAAGTTATTTCGGGAACATTACATTTGGTGATTTATCTCAAAGACCAGTAAGAGGCAAAAGTAAAATTCTCCTTGAACTTAATAATAGCAAAGAATTATATATTTCAGATGTTTAGTATATTCCTGATATGAAAAATAATATTCTAAGCTTAGGACAATTATTTAAAAAAAGGTTATGATATTGAGATGAAAGATATAGTTCTCTCAATTCATGACAAGAATAAAATATTGATATCACATGTGAAAATGGCAAAGAATAGAATGTTTCCTCTGCATTTAAGTATTTTTGATCAATTAAATTGTTTTAAAGCTGATATTGAGGATATTTCTACATTTAGCATCTTAGATACGCTCACTTAAATTTTGAGGCTTTGAAACTTCTAGAGAAGTATAATATGATAACATGAATGCCAAAAATTGATCGTCCATCAAAATTATGTGAAGTATGTGTCATGGGTAAGCTAGAAAGAAAGCATTTCAAAGTCAGAATAACAAAAAGAGCATGGCATCGACTTGATCCGGTACACTTAGATGTTTGTGGCCTTATCAATCCAGTATCACTTGGAGGAAGCATGTATTTTCTTACCTTCACTGATGATTATAGTGGCAAAACTTAGGTTTATATGTTAAAATAAAAGAAAGAAGTTTTAAGCAAATTCAAAGAATTTAAGGATTTGGTTGAAAGATAAAGTTATTATAAAATTAAATATTTAAGAACAGATAGGGGTAGTGAATATATATCAAATGAATTTGAAATTTTTGTAGAAATAATGAAATTCTACATCAATTCACCATGCCATACACACCTCAATAGAATGGTGTCTCAAAAAGAAAAAATAGGACTATCCTTAATATGGTCTGATGCATGTTAAAGGAAAGAAAAATTCCTAAAGAATTTTGGGGATATGCTATTTATTGCTTGTGTAATTTATTTGCTTAACAGATTTCCGACAAAGCAAATTGGTAATATTACACCAAAAGAAGCATGAAGCTTATAAAAACCAAGAGTTGATCATTAGAGAATTTTTGGAAGTATTGCATTTGCTAAGATACTAAAAGAAAAGAGAACAAAATTAGAAGATAAAAGTTAAAAATATATTTTGCTAGATTATTCAGAGAATTTCAGTTGTTACAAACTCTACGATCCTATCACTTGGGATACTGTAGTGCTCCCGGATGTGGCCGAGCAATTCGTCAGTCACAACAGAGTCAAAATCATGCAATGACTTTGAAACTTGAAGGGCTCACCCGGTCCTCTCGTTCAACGGGGAAATACTGGTCTCTAAGAAAAAAGTATGTTGTTCTAGTGGTCAATCGTTTATTAGTGCCAAGTTTCCAAATGCAGCATTTTAGGAATACCACTCTTAGATATTTGCTCATACATAATAGCACCATACGTATCACTGATTTTATTTTTATTCCAAGTACCAATTTGAATTAACTTTGAACTAAAATAATGCTCAGAATAAGTGTTATAAGAAATGCAGGCTTCAAGTAAAAGGTATATCAAACAACGACTCTTACGATTAAAGGGGGAAGGGTGGTACGAGGTTTTTGGTTAGAGATGTTAGTCACAGGTGCAGGTTACTACTTCCCCCCTTCCAACAAAAGAAGCACAAACAAGCAAAGGATAGGCTGAACTGATGAGCGAGATTTGCATATGTTCTTCTAAGTTTGGCACATAATGTTTGAAAGCCCATTTGTTTTCCTCGAGATAGGATCTTGATAAACCTTTCATCTATGATCAAGATGAGGAAACGGTGACGTTGCGTAAGAAATAAGAAGGCAAAAAACACTTAGAAGTATAGCACGACTTCGAATTAGTAGAGTAGATAAAAAAAAAGAAACGTGCAATCAGATTTTTCTTGTTTACCAAATATTAATTCATTACATTAGTCTAAATTGAAATCCATTAAAATAAAAAAAAATTACTGCTTCCTTAAGATAAAATAAATGATACTTCTCACTGGGTGCTAGTAAATTTTTGAATTCTTCAAAGGTATGGATTAGCTTCAGAAAATAGCCCTTCATATACTCAGGTAGCTGATGAACAGCCTTGGCATCCCACAATTAGCTTAGTTTTGCTTTATCCACAAAGAATCAAACTATTGTGGCATATTTGTCATGGCACCTGCTGTTCTAATCAATTGAGATAAGATATCTCATTCTCGACAATAATAAAACAAAAAAACGCTATCCAAAAACAAGAGATTTCCAAACCTTTGAATTGCTTCAGTGTGTAGTTGACTCTCCTCCAATGTGCTGTGCTATAGAGATCATAGATATCATCCAAGATGGAAGTCATGGCCAGCACCTTGGTGGTAATCACTCGTGCACGAGAATAGTGAGGTTCAAAGTACACCGTAAGCATCCAATAATAACATTCCACCACTCGATCTCGTGCAAAACTTAGATTTTTAGAGAGGAATAAATCATTCCACCATCTTCAATGCAATCCGCAAACCACAATGTTATTGTCAATCCAAACATCGATAAAAAAAGATGGACACAATCAAACATTTCTACAATGACAGTGTTCTACGTATTCAAGTGGACTCCTCAACCTGAACTCTCAATCAATCTAACTGTAGGAAAGAAATTACATGGAGATGCTCTTAATCTCGTCGCGATGAAGACATTGCAGTAGATTGAAGTCAAGCTTTGCCAGCTCTAGTAAGGCATCATTTCGTGTCGCACACTCTTGGTAGATGGAGATGAAATTTCGTGCCAAGACCCTTTTCATTCTTCTACAGAGAGGACTCTCCAGGAACAGTCTCACTTGCGTTGCTAACGGTGGTGTGAGATCACTTAACATGGACGCAAGCTGGTCCCTTGTAAAGGAAATAGCTTCATCGAGTATGGTCTCCTCATGTATCCGTAGATAAGCCGCATTGTATAAGCTTAAAAGTCCCTTTGGATCATCCTTCAAGGTGGACACTAAATTTCCTTCCTCAACTTTGAACTTGTTAAAAACATCTGTTGATTCATAAAGTTTTGAGAAAACACATGAAGTGGTTTTATTTTATTTACGTTATTGTAACAATTTCACAAAAAATGACATTGATTCTCTTGAAATCGAACATAGTAATTTCATCTCTATAATATGCCAAATATAGGTCAAATATAAATCATGGTATACGCCAAAGATAGTTTCAATAGGAACTTTCAGTGACAAATGTGTATTATCTGATTGCAGGGTCATGAAAAGGGAAAACAATTACTATTCTAGTAAGGCAGTAACAATTATAGACGATGTATATATATATATATATATATATAACAAAGTACATCATTTTAATATAGTTGAAAAATATGTATAGGAGATCAAAACGTTTTGAGAGTGTGAGGTCACTCATGTACAGAGAAGAAATTATGTAGCAAATTGATCAGCTAATATTGTTCGAAGCCATCGGATTGATTGTTCAGTGACTTGTTTTTTGATGGGCTGATCAAGTTGTTTTTTAAAAACAAAAATCCTCCATCATATCTAAAATACAAATCGAATTACTTCTGCAAACATAATTTTTCTATGCCTGAATTAAACACGAGGCGAACACAAAATTATAGAGAAAACATACAAATACATCTACTCCAAGGAAACGTGAAAGCATATTACCAGGGGTCACATGATACCCTTGTTGTCTCTGCAGTCGAATTGCTACAGATACAGTTTTGTTTTTTTTCTGAAAGAGGAAATGAATTAGCACTTAAAAAAAGAGAGTTACAGCTGCTAGGCATGGCTGTCGCATCAGCCTTCCAAGAAAAGATGATTGTGAGCAGAAGTGTTGAGTTGTGTGGGGGATGAAGCTGAACTCAACAACCTTCAGCCTCATCCGAAGGATAGCATTATTGAAGACAGCTGAATCAGAGCATATCCATATCTTGGTTAAGCCCTCCTCCTCTGTAAAATTTAGGGCTTGAAGAATTGCTTGTTGGGAAGAAACCTGTTAATGCGGAATAATCTTTTCTCTCTTTGTGTATCAAAATGGGTTCCTCATCAAAATACCAACTTGATATCCAAATAAAAATATCAACCAACATAGCATAAACAATAGAGCAAATAATCAATCACACAGTGAGCCCAAATTTTTTTAACGTGGAAAACCCAATGCGGGAAAAACCACGGGACCGTAGTCCACCTCAAACTTCCACTATCAATAATAATGATAACAGGTTTACAGTAGGTCTTCTCTAGAATAACTAGAGGATCAGAATAACATCAAGAACATAGATCTTGGCTCAAGAATAGCATATCTTCATCACATAGGTGGATCTCCTCCAAAGAGAATTCTAGGTCTCACAAAGTGGATATCGCAGGAAAGTACCTTAGAGAGAGTAAACTGCAGATCAACACCGTTAGGATTGTAGAGTTTGCTGCAAGGATTCTCCA